TGGCATGTGGTGCTGGGGGATTGAACCATGGTCCCTGTGCTTTTTTGCTAAACTTGTTCTAAGTAGGTGCTTTAGACCACTGAGCCATCTCCCCAGCCTTCACTAAATTCTTAAGAGAATAAAAGAAGCTTTGAATCGAATCAAACCCACTATAATCCGTAGCAAGCTTCAACAGGGGAACCAGTGCTTTCAGTAAGAGGGTGGTACCACATGTCTTCAAAATGAAACATCTCTTGAGACAAACATTCTACTCTCACTGAGTACATAAGCTTCTTGCTTGTCCGTTTTTGTCACATTTATGATTGAACATTGCACATTCTTCAAAAGTATATCCCGCTCAGATCTCGGGATAGTGTGAAGATCCCCAGATCCCTGGTTGGCGTCGGATTGCTGACGGAAGAACGACGCCTCCAGTAGTGTCTAGGTCCCTTCGAAAAAATGTGCAGCTTCCATCACTGTGAGACTAGCGAACAACCAACAACCACAGAAAATAAATTAAATCTCTTCTCCCGCCGCTGCGGATTGTTCCAGCTGTGTTGCTACAAAGTTCAGGTTCCTTTTTTTTTTTTTTTAAGAGCAGTTTTATTTTTATTTATTTAATTTTTTGCAGAACCAGGGATTGAACTCAGGCCCTTGTGCTTGCCAGGGAAGCGCTTACTCCACTGAGCCATCTCCCCGGCCCCCCCCCCTTTTTTTTGCTATAATTTTATATTAACTTTTTAAAAAAAGGATTAATAAAATTTTCCCAGCTTCTTGTGAGCGAAAGTTGAACATGAGTCTGTTGGAAATAGAGGCAGATATAGTTCAGTCTCTTGTAGTCCGCTGCTTCCCCGTTAAAGAGTAGAGCGAGCACTAGCTAATGTCGCCAGCCATACTGTGTAAGCATCTTTTGTTCTTTTTGTAGAGATAGGTTCTCACTGTGTAGTCCAGGCTGCTCTGCAATTCAGGGTTATCTTCCTGCCTCAGAAAATGCTGGGATTACAGGAGTGCATCACCATGCCTGGCTTCTAATGCTTCACGTAAATACCTGTTATTTATGTTTTTTAGTTTTGTTTTTAGTAATAGTGATACCACTTGGTGTCGAGCAATATCTCATTGTGGTTTTGATTTGCTTGTCATGGTGAACTGTATAAAGCATCTTTCCATGTGCTTATGTATATATTTAAAAATGTTCTGTTTTCTCACTTGATTGGAAAAGATGTGTTGGCTTTAACTGTTGACTTGGCATTTACAACTTTTCCCCATTATTTTGAAAACTAAGGGTCTGGGGAGATGGCTCAGTGGAATAAGCACTTCCCTGGCAAGCACAAGGGCCTGAGTTCAATCCCTGGTTCCACCAAAAAAAAAGAAAAAACTAAATATACTGACATATTCTCTCTCTCTCTCTCTCTCTCTCTCTCTCTCTCTCTCTCTTAAAGATGGCTCTGAGTAAGTCAATGCATGCAAGAAATAGATACAAGGACAAACCTCCTGACTTTGCATATTTGGCATCCAAATATCCAGACTTTAAGCAACATGTTCAAATAAATCTGAATGGAAGAGTGAGGTAGGTACCATGGACAATTATTAACATGGCATCATTCTGTTGTGCCTTGCATGGACTCAGTATAATGGGAAGAGATTGGACTTTTAGAAGACCTGAGTGCTAACTGTAGTATTTTATTAAATAATCTCATCCTGTCACTTCTCGGCCTTTGGGCTAAGAGCAAGTGTAGTAAACATCTCTTCACTTAATATCCCTAGC